CGGGGACACCAAGCGGGAAGGACAGGTGGGGTCAGGTGGGGCCGTGAGAGGGAGAGAAGTTACCTGGCCCCCACCTCGAGGTCTGGCACAGGGCACACAGCGGGGACCTGAAGGAGCTGACAGACCCAGCCCAGCAACAGGACAGCAGTGCCAAGTGTGCGCACTCGCCTCCCTAGGCCTGTTGTGCCTCTGGTCCCACTTTATAGATAATGGCCCAGTCTCAGTGAAAATGACATTGAGTAGAGTAAGCCCTCCCAATTTTAAGTCCCTGTTTTCTTCCTAAACAAAACTTCGGTGAAGAGTAGAAGGCGTGAGAATCACACAATCCACGTGCGAACCTATGGTGAACAAACAGCTGCTCGGTTAGCAGCCCCTTCTGATCCTCTTGAGCAGCGTGGTCCTTGTCCCCACCCCTTGTTTATGTCACAGACAAGGCTCTAAGTCTCGTAAAGAAATAGGCGGCATCTCAGTTGGACGGCAACTGCTGAAGCCCTTCTATTTTCAGGATTCTTCAAACCTGCAGGTGCAAAGCCCTGGCGCTCAGATAGGTCAGCCCAGAGAGGTGCATGCAGAAATCAGGGCCTCAAAGTGGTTGTCCGGCTCACTGTGAGACCACTCGAGGTATTTGCTCCTGTTGGTTTGAAGTGTGGGAGCCCCAGCATCCCTCTAGGTGTCTTCTAAAGCAGGCCCTGAGGCCTAATGGAGCATTGGAGCTCCTGCCCAGCAGAGAGAACGTGGGACCCTCTACCCCCCAGGCAAGGGCAGGTTGGCCTCAGGCAGCTGGGCCACAGGTCCTAGTCTGAGCCGGGGAGGGACTCTGGGTCCTGGCAAGAGGAGCAGTTGCTCCCACCCTGGCCCAAGGCCTCTCCTCATGCTGCTTCCCCAATGTGTGGGCTTGGGACCGCAAAATGGGAAAAAAGGAGAGGACCCAGGTGGCTTCTGCCTGAGCCCTCAGACCAGTGTGGAGTATGGAGGTGTGAAACCAGAGGTAACATGGGGCCTAGAAAGCTCGTCTGTCGGCAGCTCCAGTGTCCAGGCTGTGTGTGCCCATTCCTGCCTGGCCCAGCCACCTGAGCAACGCAGAGTGGCAACTGCTTCCTGCCATGCTCTCTGGCCTCCGAGAGCTGTCCTGCAAGCACCCTCCCGATACAGCCATGCTCCCAGGCCAAGCCCCAAATAATCCGCAAAGCTCAGCAGACATGTCCGAACAACCCCAGGGCAAACCAACACCCTCCAGCTGCCTGAGCATGGGGTCACGCTCCTGCAGGTGGCTGCTGAGCGGAGGGGCGGGTGGCAGACGGACTCAGGACTTCGTCTGACAACTGCTCCCCTCTCCAAGGGCTGGCTAAGACAGGCTCTGAGTTACTTTCATTCTTTTTGATCTCAATAACATTGTGTTTCTTAAAGTGCAGATTTAAAAAAGAAAAAAGGACAAAGCAACAAGTGAGACCCGTCTTCCCACGAGAAAAGCAAGCGTGCTCCTGACTCCTGACAGCAGTAATCGAGGCGGAAGACTCGAGACTTGCACACGTTGGGCTCAGCGACACTGAAGATAAAAAGGAAGATGTTTTCAGACTGCACCTTCCACGTGCAAGTGTTTACTAATCTATTCTCTCTGAAGCAGCCTCGGCGGAAGCCTGAGATCAGAAACATTTTAATTCAGGTGAAAATGCCTCTCACTTGTTATTTTTGTTTGTTTTTTGTCTTTTGTTTTTTTAGTTTTCTAAGTGGCATTTGGGGAAATTCAGCATTTATGAAAGACAGAAAATATATGGAGACCCTCAAGAGGCCGTGAAAGTACATTCCACCCGAACCCCAGTGAAAGCCCAGTTGTGGGCTGCCCTGGGGTGGGGGGGGTTGTCCCAAAAAGGCACCGGGGCCTCCAGGAGCAGCACCAGGGGCAGTGCTTTCTTCTCTTCTGGGAAACACGGCACTTTATAGTCTGACTAACCTTCTAATGGTGCTAGTTCCCAAAGACCATTTTCCTGTACACGCATACCACAAATTCCCATTAAAATTACATCTGTAGACAACTAACTTCTGATTTACTCATGAGTGAGTTCACAGGGGACGCGCAGAGTGGCAGTGTCTAAGAGGAAGATGATGGAGAAGCCAAGGGAGGGGAGAGGAGACAAGGACTGGGCGCCCCACTTGGCCCGCCTGCCCAGCTTTCTACAGGAGAAAAAGAAGCAAAAGGGGGCTCTGGAACAGGTCTTCGAGGTTGGGGCAGGCAGAGCATCCGCTCTCCACTATGCCTGAGTAACATGCAAGTCTGGCTGGCTGTCCTGTGCCCTGCCTGCCAGCAGATCAGGTGAACACCGCAGCCACCCCTCAGCCCTGCAGGCTGGGCCGGTTCCCTCTCCCAGTCCATGCCGGGCCCAGTGCTGACCAAGGAGTTCGGGTGGGTCCTGATCTCATGCCCAGCCCAGCCCAGGCAGGAGACTGAGCAGCCGTAAGCTGCCCTCACTCTTCCAGAATAGACGTGCCTTCTACACCAGGTCTGTCCAGTGAGGGCTCAGCCCCCACCACCCTACTCACTGCCATCAAGCAGGGACTGGAGGCCCAGGACTTGGAGGTCCAAGGTCCCTCTGGCAACTGGTCAGACTGCAGTCACCTCTCTTGTTGTCTCTGCCCAGTGCTGGGCCATGCAAACTAGTCTTCTAAGCCGGCCAGCCATTATCAGGCACAGGCAACACCAGGGAGGTGGTGGGCTGGGCTCTGACCTCAGCCTCCCTGGTATAGATTGGGATGGGTCTTCTCCACCGCACACAGAGCATCACCCCTGTCAGTGACCCCAGGCTAGAGCAGGACAGGAGCACAGAGAGGAGGGGTGAGGCTCTAGCAGAATCAGGGAGACTCCCACCACAGGCCCGGCCCCAGCAGCCGTCTAGACCCACTCCAGAGCCAGCATCACGGCAGTCAGCTGCCCCATGCAGTGCACCTCCTGCCAGCCCCTTCCTGATGTCTCTGGGCACTCATGGGACTTTCAGGTAGAGGCTACTGTGATCCCAGAACAGAGCAACTTTGCGGCTCCAAAGGCTAGAAGAGTTCATCTCAAGGTGGCTTGTACCCCCCGGTTAGAGGGGCATTCAGGGCAATGGGTGACTGCTGCCTTCGCTGAAATCTTCCAAGAAGCCAGAGCAGTGGCTCCAAACATTTGGGGCTGTCTCCAGACCTGTGGGCTGTGCCTGAGAGCCACATAGGCCCTCCAAGTTGCACTTTAGACAGAAGCAGTGCCCCCACCCCTGGGAGGGCTCCCAGGCCCACACATGGGCTCTGTGGGCCAAGGAGGTCAGAGCTAGCTATTCCAGGATAGAAAGGCCTCCATGTCTAACTCTCCATGGCTGCCGCTCAGCCCCCTGGACCAGCAATTACCCTTGTGAGGTCTAGCACTGCCCAGGTGACCTGGTGCCAGGGGGACCCTGCAGGGGCCTTGGTCTCCAGCTCCACGGGACAGAAGAGTTCACAGAACTGCCTCCTTCTCTTTGAAAACAAACTGCCCTCTGAGCCCTGGCCCAGCCCCCTCTGCATGAGAGATGACCACCACTGGGGACAGGGCAGGGTCTGGCCTCCACTGGTGGCAGCACCCACTGGCACCATAAGACTCCAATCCCTGTTCTCCACTCCTTTGTTTACTGTCAATTAATGGAGCCATATGGAAAGAGGTGATAATCACAGCCAAGGACCAATGGGAGGGGAGCCCAGGCCAAGAGGAGCCCCCACCAGCCACATGAAGATACAGCACCCTCCCTGGGCCAGAGAGCAGTCAGGGAAGGCCCTGTCAGTGCCTTTGAAGAGACAGAGCTGGATGCTCCTACATCCTCTGGGTCTGCCCTGACACCCTGCCTGCCTTTTGTTCACTTGGCCACTAGCCTCAGAGATGTCCTCGGGTTTCTTCCGAGGTTTTAAACCACCCTCTCCCAAAAGGATAATTATAATCATCACTGTCATTATCATCATTACAGTGACATAGTCGATGCCCCAAGATCAAGCCTGCATGCAGCTACCAACCCACCTCTGAGATGTTTTGTTTTAGAAATTAAACATCCAACTTCACCATCCGTCAATGTTCACTGATTTGAAGGTAATGCTGAGACAAGAAAAGCCCGTGGTGACTCAGAAAGACCAGGCAGTGAGCATCCCCCACACCAAAACTAAAAGCCACCGTGCATTTGTTTATTTTCCTGGTTTATGAAGAAGAAAGTGAATTAAATGGACAGAATCAAAATCCATGGCCCTGGAACATGTTATCCACAGGCCATGGCATGATGCTGTTCAAAGCTCAAACTGACTTTTAGCCAACCCTGATTTTTAGTTTTAAATATGCAAATCCAGTTACACTGACTCCATAAACAACCAAGCTCCCCAGCCCCACGAACACATAACGAGAAGAGGAGCCGAGAGGACTGCTGACATTCAGTTCTGCACATCTATCCCACAGACACATGCACCCTGGATGCTGTCCTTGAGTTTAGAAATACATGACATTCAAAGACAAAACACTCACGTGAGCATCTCCACTCAGTACCTTGGGTGGGGGTCACACACAAGATACCCCAGACTCCAAGTCCCCGCTTCAGAGAGATCTTCTGCATAAAGGACCAGCATCCTCCCCCGGCACGGAGCCACTGAGTCCCAGAGCTCCAGACATGTCTGTTGTTCTTCTTCCAGAAATGCGCATAAAGTTTTTCGTCTTGATACACGCCCCCCCACCACGACCGATGTCTTTTCCGTCAGACGCACAACATGTCCCCTAGAACCTCAGAGAAGCAAGGAGCAACGGAGAAAGAGGGAGAGTGGCACACGGGCAGACCGGGAGAAGAAAGCCTCAGTCCTCCAGAGCAGTTTTAAAAGGCCACCCCCAGACCTGCTTTTCCCGCAAAGAAAGCCTTCACCCTGGAAATGAACTCCGCTCGCGCCCTTCCCTGTCCCTGTCCAAGGGGAAAAGCCAGGCGTTGGGTGTCTGCCTTTGTCAGCGAGAGAGCACAACATTGGCTTACCTTTACCCGCAGCTATTGTCTGTCCTCTTTCAAAATGACATCACGGAAAGCAATCATGAAATTTACATGGGGGGTGAGGGTGGACTGGGGGAGGAGAGGCAAGGCAGCTGCCTCCCCCACAGCGGCCACATGTGGGGAAGGCTGTGTGCGGGTTTCAATTAAATATCTTCTCCCCTTAGTGTGCAAACTCCTAAGCCAGCTGAAGGCGACGTCTCATTTACTTAATGACGGCTCTCATTAGCAGCGGTGGCACGGGCTGGCGGGGAGGCTCCTTTGTAAATACGCTACCCATGAACCCTTGGGGCTCCAATATATCTGTTTACTCTCTGAGGTGAAGTAAATTTACAGTATAGCATCAGAAAGATGAATCTGCTCAACTGGGGTGAGAGGTGTCCCAGGCCAGCAGAGCCCCCACCCCCTGCTCTGAGCCTCAGCCGATAGAAGGTGCCTACATTCGCCCACACTGATTCATAAACAATATGCAGACTGATTGAGGGGTTTTTTTTAATGCAAAACACACAAAAGGGCAGAGAGCGTCACAACTGCCTTGCTCACCCCCCTCGGCTTTTTCTGCCAGTGGTTCAGTCCACGATAGAAGGTGCCTACATTCGCCCACACTGATTCATAAACAATATGCAGACTGATTGAGGGGTTTTTTTTTAATGCAAAACACACAAAAGGCCAGAGAGCGTCACAACTGCCTTGCTCACCCCCCTCGGCTTTTTCTGCCAGTGGTTCAGTCCAATAATTCCTAATAGCAGCAACCGGAATGACAGATGCCCTGGGTTAGCATGGCTACAGCGAAAGTACTTTACAATATTTATTGGTGGTTAGGAATATGACCTACCACCATAAAGAACAGGCTGCAGAATTTACCGCTCAAGCGAGGCAGGACTGTTACATATTGGCTCATCTGCATACTCAAGGACCAGTGACTTAAATGGATATGCATTTATTTAAGTGCATAAAAGGTACCCATAGCCACAGAACAAAAAATAAAGTCATATACACAAAGAATAGATCAGGAAAAAACAATTTTCTGTTGTCACACTTTCCTTTTTTAATTTTTAAAATAATGAAACCCTCCCAAAGAGAACTTGGGATTTCCTGAGACACGGGTATCTTAACCCCTAAAATCATGAAGTTTATCCCAACCAGAGGGAAGCACACTGCTTAAGTTTTGTGTTCTTTTTTCGGAGTCTTTTTAAAAACTGCCCAAAATGAGCTCTCCAATGGAAGCCAAGAGGAGAGAAGTCCGTAACATCCATGATGGCAGTGCCCACCCACTCTTCAAGCAGCCCGGCTGTCTGCTCTCATCTGCCAGTGTGCGATTTTTTTTTTTTTTTCACATTCAGGGATAAATATAGGATTTCCTCAATAGGGTACCCAGGAACCAGAGTATTCTTGTTTGCTATCCAAATCCCCTTCTCGTACTGATAAATCAGGCAAACACTGTCCATTATTATAATCAGGACGTTGGAAACTCTACTGTGAAACACAAGGATTAAAATTGGAATTTCAGACATCTGCAAAGATGCTGCTGTTGCAGGCCAGCTGGAGGCCAATAAAACTCACGTCCCTGAAGTTCGGTGCAGGGATTGCAATGAACAATAAATATCATTTCTTTGTAAACTGTACAGGAACACAATGCCCCAACTTAATTAGCACTAAAGGGCTCAGGCCCCCAGAAGTGTGAATGAGACAGAACTAAAACATTTTGCTTTCTCTAAGAGAGCATTTGTTTTTTGTTTTGTTTTTAGAGCATGGTGCTGATAACACCAAGATCCACTGTTCAATCTCTTTATTACTAGCCAGCCACACACACACACGAAAAAGTTAATCTCCCCCAGAAACACCCTCACAGACACCCAGAAACAATGTTCCACCAGACACCCAAGCATCCTTTAGTGCAGACAAGTTGATGCCCAAAATCAATGGTTACTGCTGCCTTTCCTTGAATGCCTTGTAAGAGAGCATGTTTTGAGAATCTTAGTTGATTTTCAAAACAATTGCTTGTGGAGAAGTGAACTCCTCTTCCACGCACAATTGTTTTTAACATGCAGTTTGCACTCTGCTTGTTACATATAAACAAATAGATTTCATCCTGAAAGCAACTACACTAGACTCTTACACACACTTATCATTCCCAACCAATAAAACACAAAATGCATGCAGGGTCAACATTTAGGTTGAGCAAAAGGAAATAAATGCAAGCCCGTACTGCTCAAACTGAGGATGAAATATTAATTAGCCAAATGAGAACTGTTTGAGGCTCCCACAATGACTGTCTACCCTACCATTTTGTATTCTTTTATAAACTCATATCCATTAGCATAAAAGGACACATTCGGCTGAGAGCACTCCTGAAAAGCCATTTCTGTCTCCTCTGGACATGCGGCGAGTGCTGGGATATTTTACATCCCAAACCTTTGGCATTCAGAAATTCTATTAAACTCTTATCGGCAGGCTGCAGACTCAGGGCAGCCCTGCGGGCCATTGTTCAACCGTGAAGATAGAATCAGAGGGAGGGCCAGTGCTGAATCAGCCTTATTCCCCAACAATACCCCATGTTTCATGAAAGCTGTTGAATTCAGATATGTAATGGTCAGACTCAGGGAACAACACAAAACAGGGAGAAATCGTGCAATAGAAGACCTCGTGGGGTAGAATTATTTTTTCAGGTTATAGAAATTATACTTGTGAAAACTTAAGTCTTTCAACGCGTCATGTTTCCCTCTTTGAAAAGCCATGCACTTCCTCGAGTGTGGAGCCCTGGTGGCGGGGAGTGGGTCCCAGACCCCACCTGGGGCTGCTTGGGGCCAGAATCCGGAAATCGGTGCCTGTCGGCGGATCCTAGCGAGCCCTGGGAGCTCCCACTGGGAGGTGAAAGTCATGTGAGCGGCTTCAGAAGACGGCTTTTGATGAGGAAAGGTCCTGAATCTTTAGCTGAGACTGTCAGGAGGACAAGCAGGCGACGCGGGAGGGGAGCAGGGCACACAGGGGCTTTGCTGCGAGTTTCTCCGGTGGCAGCTTCTCCTCGTCCCGGGCAGAAGCCCGAGCGGCGCGTGGACCGATCAGCACTCAGCACTCTGGACAGCGCCCTGCCCTGCGCCCCGGCCTTTGTTCTGGGCACGCGGACGCCTCGGCTCGGCTCGCAGCAGCACTCAGCAGGCGCTAAACTGCCGGCTGGGAGAAGCAAACCCAAGCTCCCAACCCCAACAGACCCCTGCTCGTAAGTGACACCAGCAAGGTATAACATAAAGCTTTTTTTCTTACGCAGGGTGAACATTGTCAGAATCTTTAAAAATCATAAAATACTTTCTTCCCATAACTAAGCGTGAAGCACATCATTTAAGTTTTGCTTCATAAAAATCTGTGCGGAAGTCACATGCGACTTCTTTTAAGTTTGGGCAGATCCACAGGAAAACAACTCCTTTCTGACTGGTGGTCCTCAGACTCCACACAGGGAGGGAAAGGGGAGATTTGCAAAACCAAACCTGCAGTGGCAGCCGCCTGAGAAAGTGCTTTGTGTGCGCTGGGGGAGGTGGGCTTGACGATCGCTTAGCCAGTAAGATCACTTCAAATAAAGTGTAATTACTTGTGCAAATCTGCACACAGACATTCCAAGTGTTAGTTCATTTGCTTCATAAAAACTCTTTCAAGTAATTTTGGTCTAAACTTTCTGCATCTGTAATTGGCACCACCTTCTCTGGTGACCAGCTGGGGGAGAGGTTTTTCTTGTTTCCTTCTGAAAGCTTCCCCGCAGATGGGCGCCTGCCTTAATGCTGCAGACGACAATTAGGGCCGTTGTGTGCGGAGCGAGATGGTCAGCATTAATATTGTATAGAACAGCTGAGGGCTGGGGGGCGCTGCCCCAGGCAGGCCCTGGCAGATGGAGCAAACAAAACCAGGAGCCACTCTCCCCGTCTCACACTCACGCAGACACTCACAAACACTTGGCACCAGTTTGTGAGACTCACACGCACACAGCGCTCACACACCCAGCAACTTTGAGTGTGACGAGCGGCCCAGCCAAAGCCCCTTGCCACAGTCGGTCCAGGTGGACATCTGTTGTGGAGACATGGGAGGCACACACAGTCTCTCACCGCCTCCTCACAGAGCCTCACTGCCCGGCCGGGGGCTCCTGACACCCCTGGCTGCACCTGGCCTGCTGGGCAGACCTGAAGGGCGGGTGCTTCACAGAAGGAGGCCTGGCTGGCACCTGCACATCCTCCCTCCTCCCCACCTCCAATCTTCACAGAGCAGCCTTCACAGCACTGTCAGCCTTCTGCAAGCCACAGTATCTGCTGGAAGGGGAGGTGTAGGCCGGTTTCTGAGGGGCCCTGGCCACAATTCAGGAGGAAGCGTGTGTCTGTCACCTCCTCAGCTGCCCAGAAAAGAGCACTGAGCAGGGAAGGGGGGACGCACACGGCTAATTACTCCCTTTGGCATCTTGGCAGAAACATGTGAACAGGCCCTGGGTGGGGTGTGAGGGACTTGGCAGGGGGAGGGGGTACGCACCCAGGAAGGTCCCACAGAGCATCATCCTGGCCAAGCGATGCACCTCCTCTCAGGGCCTGGACACACTTCCCTTCATGCTGGAGAAAGTTGCTGCACAAACTTCTGTGTCCCAGGGCCCTGGGGAGCCTCCACTGCATCCAGCCAATCAAGACCACAGAGCAGAAAATCACAAACTGATGCCCAGCCTCCTGCCAATGAGGCTCCCCTCACCACACAATGGGCCTTGGCCCCAGACAATGCGGGCCCCGCCTGCAGGGCCAGGGATGTGGGGGAGGCAAAGACAGTCCCTCCCTCACACTCACAGGCTCACGGTGAGAGAGGGGAAGGGCCTTTCTGAAGACACTCCCTCCTCCTCCTGCCTCCTCCCTTGGGGGAAGGGAAGCATTATGGGCGGGGAGGGGACTGTCAGACTAAGTCAAGCCTGAAAACTGGTGGGGATGAGTCTGGTTGGAGAAGAGTGGGATTGGGTCTAGGGGAGCCTCAGCCTCCCCGCAGTACAACCACTGGCTGCCGAGACTGCAGGTCCCTGAGGCTCCTGAGCTGTAGTCAACTCCCACCACCTGACCCCAAGCAGAAGTCTCACCTCTCAGGAGGGCCCACAGGGCAGAGAGTGGGATGTTCAGGGGGGAAAAGGCAGAGCAAGGAGTGGGGGTAGGGTGAGGGTGGGGCTGGGGGAGGCTTTTTCTGGATGATTCCTCCTGCTCTACCCCATGTCTAGGACACTTTGCTGCCCACTGTAGACCTTTGGAACAATGAACATGGCCACACTGTGCAGTCTGCTGCCTCCTCTGATG